CTCGATCCAGGGACTCCAGGATCATGACCTGAGCCGAAGGCAGTCGCTTAACCAACTGAGCCACCCAGGCACCCAAAAAAGTAAAATCTTTAAAAAAACAAAACAAAACAAAAACATGTAGTATTCCTTAATGTACACATAGCAGCTCACCTGTTTACAGGTCTTTCTCTTGAAAGGCCCTTCGTGCTTGAGCTTATAGTGAAGATAGAAGAAACGGAAGCCAAAGGTGTGTGGCGCGTGATCGAAGGACACCTGCATGTCCAAACCGTGCTGAGTGATGTTCAGGTTCCGAGGCTTCCAGACTGGGAGGAGGAAGGACCCGGAATGAGCACCCAGAGGCCACCCTGACCCCACCATGCGGGCCAGACCTGATGGACGGGAACAGCTATACTTACAGGGCTTACAGGCCAGGTTGTCCGGCTGTAGCAACAGGTCACAGGCTATGAAGAAAGACACATATTTTTTACTTTTAGTACAGTTTGGCATTTTCCTCATCCAATAGTTCAATAAAATACAAATACACGGTGCTGGGTAGTGTTGGGAAAAGTATAAAATACATCAATTCAGCAATTCAGTATAGTGTAGTTACATCTTATGAAAATTTAAATTGTACAAGATAAAAATATGAATGCAGTTCCTTTTACGCCAGATAAATGGAAACAGTGTCAAGTCACCCAGACTCTTGAAGCTTGTCAAGCATGATAGAGGAGTTTCAAGGCCAGCAGCCAAGGGCAGCAGGACTGTGTTCAGGCTGCTACCACAGGGAGGCTCTGGTTTAGCCGTGAATAGAAATAAAGCCAGCCCCTTATCCACTGTACAGGGGTTTAGGCCCAAGAGAACTCTGGAGTGATGCTGGTAACTGTCTTGGGATTGTTGTAACCTTTGCTAGCAAATGCTCTGATGGAGTCTAAAAATGGCATGGAGACAGAAATCTACTAAGTAATAGCACCAAAGCCAACAGGGCTTTGAAGCAGGGCTTAAACGTGATGCTAACACAACGAGGCCAAACAGCCAGTCCAGGATGCCATGCTGCTCACCCAGGGAGAACCCTCTGGCAAATGTCCATCCAATGTCGAATCCAATCCAAAGAAAAGCAAAGGCAGCATCAAAATCACAGGGCACCGAAATGGTGATAATGGCATCTCCCACCTCTGCCTCACCCCCAAATAGACACATTGATTCTGATGGGAAAAATTAATCTTAAATTACACTAGTTCTAATGAAGGCAAGCTTTTCATAAACATATCTGAATCCTCTAATTGGTTATGTGTCAGGCATTGAGATGTTGTAAAATGCATCTAGTCTTCACCCTATGGAATCATATTTTAATTAAGAAAATGAGACCAACTGTTATAAAATAACTTTGCTGCACAGAAAATAAAGTTTAAAAAAAAAGTAAGAAAAGAGAAGAGAAGGGAAGGGAAAGGAAGGGAAGGAAAAGGAAAAAGAAAAGGAAAAGGAAAAGGAAAAGGGAAGGGAAGGGAAGGGAAGGGAAGGAAAGGAAAGGAAAGGAAAGGAAAGGAAAGGGAAAGGAAGGGAAGGGAAGGAAACGAAACGAAAGAAAAGGGAAAGGGAAGGAAAGGAAAGGAAAAGAAAAAAGAAAAGGCAAAAAGAAAACACATCCTGTATGTTTCTGGAGTATGAGTTTGAGTTGAGTATGAGTTCTGGAGTTGAGAAGAAAAACATCACAGAGGGGGAGGATGGCTACAGGGACGTAGGAAGGGCTGTCACAGTGGACTGCCAGCTGACCATCGGGGGCCTGGAAGGCCAGACAGAAAGCCCAACTAGGAAGGCAAGAGGGATAGCTACAGGTTCCAGGACGCCTGGGCACCAAATCTGAAAGCAGGGATTCAGGTTGAGGAAAGACCCACCACACCGCATGCAGAACAAATGGCAAAGGGAACTCAGCACAGTTGGCTGCAGAGTGTGGATTCCAGAGTCAGACTTCTGGGTTCAAATCCCAGCTCACCAGAGGCTCTTTACCCTCTGGGTGTGTAATTCCACATCTAATAAGTGGACATGGGAGGATTAAATTCTTCGAAGGGTCGTTATGGGGGTAAATGGAGTCAGTATTTAGAAAGCATTTAGAACAGGGCCTGACACATAGATGTTAAACTTTCTAGAAAGAGGCAATCTCAGGGTTACTGATTAACTGTCTTAATGTAGTCCTGAAAACAGGCAATCACAGAAGCCACTTTCCTGATGACAGGTCAAAAAAGATGGAATTATTTCATGCTCTACCCTTCATCTCCAAAATCAACTTCTACTTTTTAGGACTGCTTTTTTTTTTCCAAATGGTTTTAATATATGGCTGTCTTACAGCAGCTGTACCCCTCCCTCCCCCCAAAATAAGCAAGCATCATGACTACTCTTGAACAAGTTGGCAATTGGTGTCTCTGGTTAGGTGTACTCTGCCTAGGCCAAATCTTAATTTTAAGAATTGCTTTTCTGGATGGTTTTGTCCTCGTCATGCTGGTTTCATACCAGTATTTGGTGGGCTCTTGAATATATTCCTTGGAAAAGTCATTAGGATTAGGAGCAGTCTCATCATGGGAACCAGGCAAGCAGGCCATACTCACCACGGGTTCTGAAGAAGAAAGGGTGGTAATTGCTTTCATTTTTAATGGAAGGAAAAGGGACAATCTTCACAAAGTAATCTGTTTCAAATTTCATACTCAGGAAAGGTTGAGATTCCATTCCCTAAAAGGGAATAAAAGCAGACACGATATCATGAAGAAATCACCCACCCCTCCACCTACACACCAGACCTTCAGGCCTCTCTGACGGTCACCCACACACTCTTCCAGACCTGGGGTCTATTTTCTGGACCACGTTTAACTGAAATAAAAGATCAGCAAGGCTGCCTGTTCTTTGGCAAGGAAGCCATGGCTGGTTAACACGGACCCTCAAAACTGGTGAGGAAGAGCTCACATACTCTTGAGAGCACAAAGCCACCTTCCAGGACGTGTAACCCGAGAGGTGTGTTTACCAGCGAGAGGTGCTGGAGGGATTCTCTGGGTGTGGAGCAGGCTTGAGGTGTTGAGCTATTTCTTGAGGTGAGCTATTTCTCACCCACCTTGGCAGGAGGGGTGGACCCCACAGCCCCTCCTTCTCCAGTTTCACCGACATTCAATAGACCATTCAGACCCCCAGAACAATGGCATGTCTTCAGGAGCACATTCTCTGCGTGCGACTTACGGTTCTTTTGAAGCTACTGTTTAGCTGCTTTGGGTCCTTTAGAATCAGTTGTTGGCACCGTCTTCCCTCCGACTTCAGCTCCTCCAGTATTACTCGAAATCCTTTTAGGAATTCGATGCCTAAGCAAAGCAGAATGCTTTTATGAAAAGCGAACCGAATTACCTTTGAACACACTTTCCTTCCTTTGCCAAGATTACCGTCCTTCCCACCTACATAGCAGAGTTAAAGGAATTCTAACTTTGGCCAGAATATCCGAGTTTTACAGAAAGGAAAACCACATGCCCTGCATTCCTCTGGGACAGGCCAGGTGATTTTCTCTGTCCCATCATGACTCGTTAATTAACTCTAATTCAGCCAGCCATTTCACAAATGCCCACTGCCTCTGTGACATTAGGGTTCAAATAGTTAAGCTCAAGTCACAATTCATCCTAAAAGTCTAGAGTGGAATATATTAATTTCTAGGTCATCAGACAGGGTGTATTCAGCTGACAATAATTCCCAATGCTGACCAGGAACTCCCCCCAAACCATGTTTCTGCTTTAAGTTTTCATCCTGTATTTGCTGGCATGGTTCACTGAGTCATGCACAAAATTCCCAACAAAGTGTATGTCTGCACCCAAGGGGTTCCTAGGCTTGAGATTAAATAGTTTAGAATGCCTATGTGATTTACAAAGCAGTTCTTGCTCTAATCAGGCCTGAAAGGCAGACACCCAAGGGCTGCCCAGTGTGTGCTCTTCATACAGCCCTCAGAGGCCCCGAGACGCCCACCGTGCTGCTGAAAGGCGACGGCCCAGCCTCCTGCCACCTGAGGAGTAAGCTCTGCTGATCACAAGAGCCAGCACCAGCGCTCTGCATCCCATGGAAACTAGCTAGAGCGGTCCCACTGCAGCTGGAGATCCCCAAAGCCGGCCTCAATTGGCGCGGTATCGATTTCGCATGCTTTCTGAATGCTACACAAGGGGACAATTTCAACCCTTGCCCTCGTAGCGCAAAAGTAATGACAGGATACAATTAACCAGGTGGGAAAAGTATTGATGGCAAAGGACAGGGAAATCTTTTTTGAATCCTATCATTATTTGATGAAGAACATATATTTTCCAGTGAGTAGGGCAAAGGAGTTACAATGAGAGCTTCACATTTTCGGGGGTCACAGTGTACAATGTGCTGGTACCGACTCTGCCACATTGCATTTTTTTTTTTTTAAGATTTTTATTTGTTTATTTGCCAGAGAGAGAGCACAAGCAGGGGGAGCATCAGAGGGAGAAGCAGGCTCTCCGCCGAGCCGGGAGCCCAATGCGGGGCTCGATCCCAGGACCCTGGGATCATGACCTGAGCTGAAGGCAGACGCTTAACGGACTGAGCCACCCGGGTGCCCCCCACATTGCATTTCAAGTACAAAGCTTCCTGTGCGGGTGAGAGCCAGCTGACCCCCAGCCCAAGACTCAGACATGCTAACAAGATCCAAGGTCTTTGACCAGCGACCAGTTAGCAGATCTCACAGGAACTTGCCTTCTGAGATTAAAAAAAAAAAAGTTGAACAAATCCTTATTATTTATACCAAGATTTAATTCATGCCATGTCCCCAGAGCTCCTGTTTAACAAAAGCTGGGTGATTAATAGGATTCAAGACTGTGTATCTCACAGTTTCATAAAAATTCATCAGCTGAGGTGGGAGTGGGTGGTTCTAGTCCTTATTTTTAAAAGACCTGCCTGAAAAACCTATGCCAAGTCTGGATGGGGTCGGGGTAGAAGCAGCAAATGTAAATCTTTTTTTTTTTTTTAAGATTTTACTTATTTGACAGAGAGAGAGCGCAAGCAGGGGGGCAGCAGAGGGAGAGGGAGAAGCAGGCTTCCCGCGGAGCAGGGAGCCTGATGCAGGGCTCGATCCCAGGACCCCGGGACCACGACCTGGGCCGAAGGCAGATGCTTAAGCAACTGAGCCACCCAGGCACCCCAAGCAAATGTAAATCTTAAAGTAACACCTTTATCACAATACCCTGAATGAATGCCTTATAGTTACATGTGTAGCAACTTCATAGAGCAGCTTCCAATGATGGAACTTATTTGCTCCTTTCCATCATTTAAAACTGGATGGGGCGCCTGGGTGGCTCAGTTGGTTAAGTGACTGCCTTCGGCTCAGGTCATGATCCTGGAGTCCCGGGATCGAGTCCCGCATCGGGCTCCCTGCTCGGCAGGGAGTCTGCTTCTCCCTCTGACCCTCCTCCCTCTCATGCTCTCTGTCTCTCATTCTCTCTGTCTCAAATAAATAAATAAAATCTTTAAAAAAAAAAAAAAACAAAAACTGGATGAATCCTCCTAACATCCATGGGAGGAAGGTATTATCCCCATTTTACAGGTGAGGAAAGAGCTATCAAGACACTGAACGACTTGCCCAGGATCACACAGGAATTAAACAGCAGATGTGGGATTCAAACCCCAGAGTATCTGGCTCTAAGCTGGTGCTCTTAACCCATATGCTTCTGTCTCCCACCGAGTTTCCTTGATAAAACCTGAAAGAACCTTATAGAAACAGATAGAACCTGTCCACCCACAAATCATCATACTGGAAAGCACCACATTCTGCCCTCACTGCTCCACCTGTTAGTTTTCCAACGACACGCTCACATCCCTTACTCTTAAGGAGCCTGCAACTTGTCAGGCCAACCCCTCCACTGTATAGCCTTACATGGAATGACCACTTCCCGTTTATCCACAGAGAATGTTTTTATCTTTAAATGTTAAGATAATGTTATTTTTGGAAAACCCGCTGCGTTCAGACCCAGCAGTATTTACATGGATAAGTGAGTTAGTCCCATGGGTCTGATCTATCCTCCCTCACTCTGCACTCACCTCTCCTGCAGTCGGATTTTTCTGAGATTTATCCTGTTCAGATGAAGAAATCCAGGCTTTTATTGTACTTTTCCCTTGGCCAGATTTTTTTTTTTTTAATTCTAAGATTCAGTGGCTATGTCAAAGGAGCAGGTTTGAGGACCAGGTTCTGATGATAGTAACAGTAGCCACTTTTTCCCCCCTGTTTTGTTTTTTTCTTAAAGATTTTATTTTAAAGTAATCTCTACACTCAATGTGGGGCTTGAAACTACAACCCCAAGATCAAGAGTCACATGCTCCACCGACTGGGCTATTCAGGTGCCCCAGTAGCCACTGTTTTTTAAGAGCTCTTTCTAGGGTCACCTGGCTGGCCCAGTCAGTGGAGCAGGCAACTCTTGATCTCAGGGTCATGAGTTCAAGCCCCACATTGGGTGTCAAGATTACTTAAGTAAAAACTTTAAAAAAAAGAAAAAAGCTCTTTTTAGAAATACACTGCATGTGTGTGTGTCAGGAAATCTTATAACCAACCAAGAGGCAGTCATCTGCCTGTTACAGATGGGGAAGCGGGGCTCAGCAAGGGTTAGAGGCCTCTTGTAAAAGGTAGAATCTGGGTTCACACCTAGGCCCATCTGAACAAATGGGCCTTGCCCATGTCCCACTCCCAATTATCCCATCCAATCATTAACTTAAATGATTAAGTTAATTAAAGAGGACAAGCAGACTCTGCCCTAACCTGAATCTGGCCAGATAATGTGGATTTGCTTTTTCCTGTTTCTTCATTTTGTTTTTTTTTTTTCAGCCTACATAGTTTAAACAAATTCAGTTAGTTGGCAACATTTAAAAATTGATTTTATGGGGGCGCCTGGGTGGCTCAGTCGATTAAGCGTCTGCCTCCGGCTCAGGTCATGATCCCAGAGTCCTGGGATCGAGCCCCGCATCGGGCTCCCTGCTCGGTGGGGAGGCTGCTTCTCCCTCTCCCACTCCCCCTGCTTGTGTCCCCTCTCTCGCTGTGTCTCTCTCTGTCAAATAAATAAACAAAATTAAAAAAAAAAGAAAAAGAAAATTGGAATATTCCTGAAAACTCACAATATGCACCAGTGCTGTGCTTGGGTATCTTTTTGGGCACAGAGATGGCCGATGCTGGATGCTGAGGCCATTACATCCTTGGATAGCTCACCTGTCCCCCGACTACTGCTGAGACCCAGAGGCCAAGCGTTCAATGTGATTTATCACCACACACTATTATTTTGCAGACCTACATCTCTCTCAGTAACAGCCAAGCGAATAAAAGATGGGCCGTGAGGCCCAGCATCAAGCTGCGTGCATGCCCAGCAAGTATCCGCACCAAAGCAGGCAGTGTTTCTGGGCCGAAGCCCACCTAAGCTACACTTATGTCAAGACCTGCCTGGCTCCTGGAGGTTGTCACACTGGGATCCCTGCACTGGTCACCACCCACACCAGCCACGTAGTGGACTCCATTTTGACCAACTTACCAAGAGCCCCTGGGGACCAAAGAATGGTGACTGCCACTTGGTCGTGGCAAGCGTACTGACTGATGGTGATGTTCTGGGCATCAGCAATCACATGCTTCCCCACTGGATTCAAGTAAGTGGTGCAGTCTAGAGAGTTGGGAGAACAAAGAACAGTTAGATTAAGACATTTATTTTTTGAGGTCCGGCGTTCATCTTCTCAAATTACACAGAGCCGTCTGGAGGCGGCCAAATCCATTCTGTCTAAAGACGTGTGCTGCATAAGCCCAAATAGGACATCAAAGATTGACTGTTGGGGAAACTGTAAGGTGCTGTAGTGGGGCTTATTTAAAGCACTAACACCACTGCCCACCCTTTGAGTTCAATTCTAGGACAGCATGAGGAGGATCATATATGGTGTGGCTGTGTATGTTTATACATAGACAGTTTGACTATGTATCTGGCATTGACTTCTTTACTATTATGACACTTTACCTAAATCAATAATTATTTACATCGATTCAATTGGTTTTCAGCATTTGAGAGTGATCTGAAACAAAACAAATGGCTAAATAGTCTGGGGCTTGCTTTTAGAAGAAACCTGGAGGCCAGGTGAACAGGGCAAGGCAGCAGGATGCGGATGGGACTCACGGGGGAGCGGCTCACAGTAAGCCTGTTAAAAAATCCGATTAGTACCTACAAAAGAGACTCACTGACTTCATGATGAGCAAAGTACCTTCAACATTAATAGCATCTCAAAGGTAAAACTTCTGTTC